CCCCAAAACCCCAAAACCCCAAAACCCCTGCATTGCTTATTTCAGGAAATATTAAAAAAATAATGTAACAGAATTAAAATCTTTTTAAAATAAACTCCTGAAATAATTGCATAACTTTAAATTTGCAGTTAACAAAGCTTAATTAGTATAATTACTTGGATATTACTAATTTAAAATATTTTTCTAGGTTCACAGTAGATAACATTAGATTCACAAAACATTAGACTAAATACTTCTATTTATTAGGGATAAAGATATAGATAGCTTGGGGTAAACTAACTTGTAAGATAGAATAGAATGATTAAAATAAAGATTAGATAATAATTGATGAATTTGAGCCTCATTTTTGCCAAAAGGATTTGTTAAATGTTCAACCTGAGGGCAATACAAGCGTAGTAATTTAGCCTGTGTAGGTTGAAAGCACAAAGGTAGGAGTAAATGAGATGGTTTTGGATCCTAATGTGTTCTGTTCTTAAAAGGCAACGACCACTTTGGCTTTGATTAAACATCTACTGATTAAAGGGGAATACTTGACAAAAAAGGCTCATAAGTTGCTTTTTAGCACAATCATCTTGCTGAAAATGCTAGTAGAAGGTTAGGAAATCACTGTAAGATTAAGAAAAACAGGCTAAAGCTGGATCAAGTTTGGTGAAATCCCAAAGCGATTAGTTGATGATACTAATGCAGGTTATAGCAAATCTAGCAGTCACGAGATGAAAGAAGAATAAAAGAAAAGCAAAAAAAGTGCTTGACTTCAATTAAAGCATGCTATTGATTAAGATGATTTGTATTTTAAATCTTATGAAGCTGATGAAATACAAGAAGAAATGCTGGATGACGAAGTTAGAATGATTGCTTATAGGCAAAGTATTAAAGAAACAGACAAAGGCTAAATAGTTATTGATGTTGAGGCTGGTACTAGAATTTTAAGAATTTTTGCTGCAATAGCTGGAGCTTCACATGTGTATGCCATAGAATACACCAATATAATTGAGAAGGCAAGGATAAAGTTTCCTAGAGCTACCTCGCTGCTTGAATTACTCTAGTTAAAGGCAAGGCTGAAGACGTGGACTTGGGCTAAATTAAAGTAGATGTTATTGTATCAGAGTGGATGGGCTACTTCTTGCTGTTTCGATAATATGCTACCAAGTGTTTTAAGTATTAGAGATAGATATCTTAAAGAAAAGGGTGCTATGCTGCCCAAAAGAACTTGTATTTACTTGGCTGCAATCAATAAAAAATGCTAAGACACCGAAAAATGCAGGCATGCAGCAATGGTGGACTAATGTGAGCAGTAATGTTTATTATCTACTAGCCACCAAATCTTTAATTTTGACCTAGAGATGGATAAGTTGAACTAACAAGGCTTTACATCTACCTTTGAATTAATTCTACTCGAGGACTGTTTAATGACCGGGTTTGTTTCTTGGCTTGATGCTGCGATGACTGGCATCATCATATTCTCCATTTGTCATGATCATCCCTTAACTCAGTGGAAGAAAAAATACTGATTTATCTGCCTGAAGGAGTAGAAATTTAGAAGGACACGAAGATTGCTGGAATAGTAATTGTAGGACACCAGAAGGAAAATCCCCGGGCTTTGTGGTTTACTATTTCCTACAAACCCAAACTATGAAGAAGTAAGGCCAGTAAGCTATTCAATGGACTGACTAACGAGATTAACCAACACTCACATGTTTGAAAAATAGTAAAACAATTAATTTTATGTTAAATAGCTTATGCCGCATCATGTTTCCCATCTTTTAGAAATTCCTCTTTCGTCACCACCGCACAACTGTGTTTTTCATTTATTAAATATTGTTGATAGTTAAATATATTTATATAAACATTAAAAATAAATGGAATGAAGCTTTTGGCCCTAAGAAAAGTTTTTGTGGTAGATTGAGTTAAAGAATAAATGAAATACATTAAATTTCTAATGCCCACTCAAAAATCTAATATTTATCACATACTATTTGCGTTTTCGGACTATTTAGATAGTTAAGAACTTAGAGACTAGGAGATATATATAAAAGAAACTAAACCTCAATTAGCAAAGCTATAAGGATTATGAAGTGATAAGAACGAAATTCATGGATGCAAAGGGGCTCGAAGAACTTGAGCTCCTGCCAATACTTAACTAGCCATATTACTAAAACTAACTAACCATTGAGTGTGGGTTAATCTATATTAGACTGTTAGATTTTTCATTCCCAAGAACTTGAGAAAGGCCTTGAGTAGGGTTGGGATTGGTGAAGTCTTGATAGAGTATTCAACTAGTTGCAGCTAAGTAGCCTGTAAATGATATCTCTTTGATGCTGTAAATGCAATTAGCAAATGTTTGATTCTCATACAAGAATCGATAGAGGTGGGATTATCCTACATGGAGTTCCTAATACTGGTAAGACTTCTCTAATAAATTATCGCAAGCTAATCCTTAGAGCAGCTACGAAGTTCAATCAGACTTTAAAATCTCGCCATAAGTTATCATTGGTAGACTGATGAAGAATATATAGTGAGATTTCTAAGCTCTTATTGAAAGAAGAGGTGTAAACTGTAAGAATGGATCCCATCTGGATTTACGATGGTGCCCAGTGGTGGACCAGTGGTAGAAGGCAAAAGTGGGCAATGGTAATTAATATTTGAAAAATTAAAGTTAATTCAGTTCGTTAGAGGTGTTTCTTATTTCATGTCTTCAAACATTGCTCGAGAGACAAATTTATTTGCACAACATACTCCTTTTGAGTTACTTAAATAAGTGATTTCATTGTTGCATAAAACTTATTTGACAGCAGTAACTGCAGATTCCATGGAGCCAGCAATCCAACCATGGTGAAGACTCATATACTCTCCAGCAAAGAAAATATTACCACCGAAGCCTTTTTTTATATCGTCTTATAGTTCCTACTAAGCAGGTTTAAACATTGCCACACCCCCATGCTCATTAGTTGCCCATCGTTGAATGAAATACTTACCATTAAAGTAATTTTTAACATCAAGCTATCTGCCTTTGGCAACCAAGCGATTATACACTATGTTCAAGTCGTTGAGAGCTCTTTCAATGTTTTCAGAATCAGAACTTCTTGAATGTCTGTAAGCATCATCTGTTTGTGAGTATATTAAGATTGAACCTTTTTAATGAGGTCCATTTTCATATCCATAAGAAGGAAAAACAAAAGTTCGACTTGGTAAATCAGTTTGTATTTTTCCTCCTATAACAGCAAAATTTTCTCTTAAAAGCTCTGAGTCTTCCCAGAATCTGTAGTCGAATTGAAGGGCTAACTTAAACAAGCCTTCATTAGATAAAAGTCTAAATAATCTAGAGAAGTTAATTTCTCTCTAGGATGGTGAATTTTGTTACCCTTCCAATTCAATATTGCAATTTTTGAAAGGAGGAATGGTGACAATTAGCTTTTAAAATGTTTTAGTTTCTTGTTATTTGTTTTCCTTTTCTACCACAACTTGAATATTATCTTTAGATTACATAATTTTCAATACTTTTGTATTTTCCTATATTTTCTGTATAGCCTTTTCGTTCTTCGTATGGGCATTTCTATCAATAAGTTCTTTAATTAAATTAGTGACTTGTGACATTCCTCCCTTAATCAATTTATATTAGCTTAGGCCTGGAAATTATGTCGATTTTCTTCCCCAAAGTAATTCTGCTTCTTAATGATTTGCAGTAAAGTGAAGTTCATCAACCATCGTTTCAAACAAAGTGTGGTGAAGATAGTTAGAACTGAGGAAAAAATCTTCATAATCTTAGGCCTCTTAGAAAGTCATTAATGAATCACTTTTTTGAGTCAGATATTATTGCAAAGTGGTAAAGCGAGCCTTCTTGAGATTTTTCTAAACATTTTTATCAAGTTTTGCCTCCGTAAATCCACTGTTTTGATTAATAAGCATCAACTTTATTGAATCAATAACAGAATAGCCTGTCTTTGAATTTTGTTTTAGTATCGCTATTTTATATTTTCTCTTTAGTTCTTCTAAATAGTTCATAAATTGAATCTCATTTTTCTGATATCCGGTCTGAGAGAGTTAATGAAGGGAAAATCGTTGATGATAGTCCATTGTTGCTGCATTATCCTGTTTTCTAAAGTAAATATTACCACCTTTTATAATTTTAGAGCCATCGCTTGCATCCGAAGAGTCCATAAAGTAGTCTGCTATCACCAATTTCTGCATTCCCCTTGTTAAGTCATTCTAACCATCAATCTAAGAATTTAAATATTCAATCAATTCAAAAAATGGTATGTGCCAAGTAGGTATTCTCATTGCACCCATATCACTGTACTCACTTGGAAATTTTTTATCAAAATATTGAGTTAGTACCCTCCCACCAATTTGCTCTTGTTCCAAGAGTTCATATGTTATTTTTTATTTTTACATATTCCCTCTTGCATAATCCTCCAGCAATAATGCTGCATACAGGCCAGCTATTCCTCCACCGATTATTCCAATATGATAGTCTTAATCCCTTGAGTCTGGTTTAAAGTGGGAACCTAAAAGTCTTAGATTTTGAATTGCTTTCATAAATTCAAATTAACTTGACGTTATTTTTTAAATTATTAGTATTAAATAAGAATGGAATTTAAAAGAACAGCGACTTCTATTCCTCTTAAGGATTAAGAAGGAAAAGCGAAAATAGATTTAGCTTAATCGACTAAAAGTATTGCCAATACATTTACTGAAGATCAGTATGATGTTATTATTATTGGTGGTGGTCCCATTGGTTTATCTGCTGCTCATAATTCTGCAAAATTAGGCAAAAAAGTTATATTATTGGAAAGATATAACTTTTTTAATTAAAATGGAAGCTCTAATGACTTTGTAAGGCTGTTTAGGACAATGTATAAAGAAGATTACCTGGCTGATTTAGCAAAAGAGGCTCTTGATCTTTGGAAGGAGCTCCAAAAAGAGTCAGGAGAAGAATTGATATGGATGACTGGATTATTAAATTTTGGAGATCCAACTTATGAGGACGGACCTGAAGGTAACCTAATGGATCCAGTTAACAATCTTAAGCGTTTAAATATGCCCTATAGGGTCCTTACACCTGCTTAAATAATGGAAGAATTTCCTTTTAAAGACTTACCAGATAATTTTGTGGGAATTTGGGCTTAAGACAACGGCTGCATAAATGTTCCCAGCGTTCTGAGAACGCTTTATCGTTTGGCTTTAGCTTATGGAGCAAAATTGGTGTAGCATGCATAGGTCATTGATATGAAGGTTGGTGAAAATTTGGTCGAAGTTAAAGTGGCTAATGGAACTAGTTATAAAGCAAAGAAATGCATTGTTACTGCTGGAGCGTACACAAATAATATTCTGAGCTCCGTTGGTGTGGAGTTAAATCTTAAAATATGGGAAATGGTTTATTCCTACTTTTCTACCAACCCAGGACCTAAAGGAACATTTTTCCCAAGTGCATGGTTCTAATTTTAGGATCCAACAGGGGGGGATCCTGCTAAATCTAATTTACTTTATGGGTTTCCTTCATTACCATGGATGCCACCTAATTTAGTTCGAATTGCTGTAGACAATGCTGTCAATATTATTGATGATCCTAAAAAGAGATTGATTATTCCTTCTGATAATGATGTGCAAATTGCTGCTGATTATATAGAAAAGCATTGCGTTGGCGTTGATAATGTCCCTAATTTCAGTGGTAGCTGCTTAATGACAAATGCAATTGATAACAATTTTATTTTAGATTCACTACCTTCATCTGTGGGTCCTGGACATAAAAATGTAGTTATTTTTACTGCAGGTTGGGCTTTCAAGTTTACCCCTTTGCTTGGAAAAATTTTAACAGAATTGACTTTTGATGGGAAAACACCACACAATATTTCTAATTTTAAAATTACTCGACCTGGAGTACTAAAAACAGATTTCGCAAAATTATGAAGCTCGTTTTTCTGCAAAGTCAGCAAGACAAACCTGAATTTATATAGGCATCAAGCACTTAAATTTAGATTAATTAATTAATTCATTCGTATTGGGGGTTTAGTATTATTTTTATCTTCACTTCAACTTCACCTTCATTAGAAATTCTGGTATCGTAAAGTGCGAATGTGTTCGTTGTAAGGAATATTGTGCTCCTGGGAGCACAGAAGAGCACATCAGAGCATTATTTCTATTTTTCCCGGACACATCATATAGTATTTCCATTGGGTCTAGTAGTAATTCAACCTAATCCACTATTTCCACTTACATTCCTCCAATAGAAATGGGGGTTTAGTATTAGAGGGTAGGGTAGGTGCATAATTTTTCTCTTCTCAGCAACCGCAATTTTCTTGCATATTCTACGCTATTGATAACCTAAATTTGCTGCCCGTTTGCTGTTAGTTGCCGTCCATCTTCATTAAAAAAATTTAGAGCAAAAGTTTGGGCTTTATGTCTTCAAAATCTTCCCTTTTTGTCCTTCATCTTTCAAAAAGGTTTGGTAATACTATATGATAAGCTATACCTCTATGCTAAATCTCTTCAGTTAATAGTAAAATTACTTATTGTAACAGCGAGTTGGATCATAGCTATGAGCATATTTTAACTTTATTGACTTCATATTCGTTTCTTCCTGAGCCATTTTTTGCAATGTTTTCTTTCGGCTTCTCCAAATATGGTTGATGGCCACTATAATGTTCAGCAACCACAAATTTCTCGACGGCAACTGAGCAAATCAACTATGAAGAGTAGTAATATAAAAAAGAGAGAAAGTTGGACCTACCCTCTACTACTAAATCCCAAGATGTTGCAAAAAGGAATCTTGTACTAAGCTAAAATCTCAAACCATGAGACAAGGCTCTGCTGCTCCTATTTTTTGAAGTCTTTACCCATCGAGAAAACTATTGTCACATAGCAAAATTAATTTTAAAGTGAGTCGGCTGCTGTTTGGTCCTTTGAAGATTATTAAAATGTTGATCAAATCATAAACTCTGTATGATTTATTAAACAAATTCCTTTAGCACAAACAGTTAGTTTCAGTATCCTCTTACTCAACAATAGGTATTTTTGTTCTTGTGAGCTCGAATACTTCAAGTTGATATGCCAATAGAACCTTTAGTGAATAATAATCATAATACAAAAGTGATATTCTTGGTGACCTTCGTCTTTAGCAATGCCTCATCTAGCTTTAGCGCTTCAACTAGCTTTAGGGCTTCAACTTTATTTCCTGAATGACCAGCTAATATGATCAATAACTTAAAGTAGACTTTTAATAGCCCTTTTATTCTTAATTCTTATTCTTTATTCTTTACTCTTTATTCTATCGACTATCCTCTATCTTGTTGTACTCGGGGTTTAGCATTAGAGGGTAGGGCATGGTTAAATTTTTATTCTCAGAGTTGAGTGTTGGCACACACTCACGGAAATTTATTGGGTTATATCAAATATAAGGTCTCTAAGTGGATGCTGATGTGGTGAAGCCTAAAACCAACTTTCCCTTCAACAATAATATTTATAAGCCTTAAGTTTTATGTTCACCAGGCTAAAATCTCGAATCGCCAGAGTAGGCTGCACTTGCTCCAAATTTTCTAAAAATTGCACCATAATAATTATTTTTTGAAATTAGGTTTAGGGTATCTTGGCTGCTGTCGACCCGAAACCTCCAGCAAAAGATTTTTATTAATTTTTTAACTTTATCAAAGGAATTAATTAAGGTTTCATATTAAATTAAGAAATTTTAATCAAGTTCAATACTAATCTTGACCTTTTTAACCCATAACAACACGACAAGCCTAGGTCCTTTAAAAAAGCTTAGATATCATTACCTGTTATTAATTAGAGCTTCTAATTAAATACAGATATCATATAAGTTGATATAAGATTGCATGCATAATTGCAAACTCCAAAATTATTATTTTAAGCAAATTTAAATATTATAATTTTCAATTAACTCAACAGCCTTAAATATGTGTAAGAGGGGTTTTGGGGTTTTGGGGTTTTGGGG